TATAATATTAGTTTTAAAGTTTTAATACATTGTGTGAACAGGTAAAGATTTTCGACATGTTGTAAATGCCGGTCGGTTATATTCCCCCTTCGTAGACCGAACACTATTTGACTGTTCGTTGCCAGCTGGCATGGAAACATCGCGGTGTGTGAAAGTTCTAAATATGAAGATTGAAGAAGACACGCATTACATTCACACACGACACACTCACACGTTGAGAGAATGTCAGATTGTTACAGCGGAACTAAGTCTTTTCGTTTTGTGATTATTGCCAAACCGTTTGAATAAGGTAAACTGTTACCTAATTATGACTATAGTAATGGTTATTAACTGCAGATAAACACAAACTGTCGGAAAAATCACCTATAATAGGAATTAGTGTCGTCAGTGTCGATCACTATATATATAATGAGCTAACGATAATATTTTAAATAATTTAATTTTTTAAATAGTTACAACCACGAATAATAAATCAACGGATAAATTAAGTCAAATAATTAATAATATTATAATAGTTTTATTAGTTATTACTCTACTATTAATATTTAGTATTTATACTTAACTTATTATATTTTATTTAAAAAGCTGAAGTGAAGTATAAGATCAAATCTATTCATTTAGCAATATTTGTAAGGACTAGTTGATTGTGTTTGTCTAATATTTAGAATATAACTAATATTCTAATTTTTACAATAAAGTATGAGAAACCCAAAGTTTTACTTATTATTGGGCGTACGTTTGAGAAGGAGGTAACAAATATTATCGTCTACCGGCATTTACTGTTTATAGTGTTTGAATCTTCTCAGTTTTCAATACTTTATTCCAACGGTGAAATTAAATTATATTAAATAATGTTTTATCATTGTAAAATAGTCATGTACTGACACGTGTTATTATTATTATTTATATTTTATGATAAACAAGCTACAAGTACAGTTTGATGTTTACTGCTATATTATAATTAAGACAATACTGTCGTTTAGGTGAATACACTCGTCCGTTCTGTAAATTTTAATATATATGAATTTTAATTAATAAATTCAAGTTTGTTGAAATACAAAAAAATACAAAATCATGTTTTAAACATACAAACCAGGATGATAATAACGCATACCTTGAACTGCACTCGAAGTTATCTTACTACCTATCTATAAAGACTATGTTACAGTATAATGTACTTACACTATACATATATACAGTATACACACATACATCCTATTATAAATATGTATATTCTCAGGGGCCATTGGCTCGCCACCACTCACCAGTGCACTTAAAGCAGTTACTACAGACTATCTATACGTCATATAATGTTATGTTATAATGTATAGTCAAACTACGTTACTATAACTAGTGACTTATGCATTCATCGGTTGACAAATAAACCAAGATCTTAAACCAGATAATATAAAATAAGTATAACAAAACATAACAAAAGCATATMTATACGGAATGGTTCTGGGCTAAAAAAAAATCCATAGAACTCTTAAAAAACTCAGATTAATTAAATTCTCAAAAAACGTGAATATTAATATAATCTGATAGTCATGTTGTAAGTTTAACACAGTTGAATGGTGTAAAAATAAAATATAATAGTATTAGTTCCCGTATTACCTGAAATGTTTAAAAAAAAATTATATTTGATGATTTTTTTCAAATTCAGTCATCAATAATAGTTGAATAATGTAGTTTCAAAATATTTCTGTTGTTAATTTTCTGTTGTTAATTAAACGAGCAATGAGTTATTGGGAAARAGGATATATGAGAAAAAGAAATAGTTTTATTTTAATATTATATGTCAGTGGTTTGTGGATAAGTAGCCAACTGACTACTGAGATAAAAATTAATAATTAGTTTCTAAATCTTTAATTACAATAATTAAATGCAATAATTTTTATATTTCAATGATGTGTCAGTCAACTCAATCGTATACGGTACATGCAGTAGATACTTCATATTATTGATTATTATTTATCAATATTAAGGTTTATCTTTATTGATTTATGATAAATTAAATAGTTTAATTATTTTTCCTGAAAACCTTAAATTGAGAAATCAATAAATAATAATTCTATATTTACGGAATGAATAAATGTACGGAATGAATAAATTCCAATTAGAAATATAGAGACTATGTAAAGCTTGTTATTTTTAAAACAGCATAATAAATAATACGCCATTTATTAACATACCGTGAAATGGGGTAACTAAGGACAGAATTTACTATTTTTTTTTTTTTTTGAATATTTCTAAAAATAATAAATCTAAAATTAAAATTAAATTAAACTCCTAAAAATTACATAGTTATATTTGTACTTTCATTTAAAATTTAAAATTGTCCGGAATTAACCCGGGTAACTGTATGGGGTTAATTGGACACCCATAAACATTCGTAGAAAAACGATGTTTTAATTTGTATGGTTAATTCTGGACTACATATTTGTGTGAAACCTCTGAAACCCATATTAAAAATATAAATTAACAAAATAAATTCTAATTAATATCAAATATTTATTACCTAATAATAAATACGTTTATTAATTCCAATCTTTAAAATTTAGTAATACTTAACGTAAAATTAGTATTTATTATTGCGTACTAAATCAATGGCGTCCGCAGTTAAAACAAAACACTGTTTTTTTTTTTAATTTATCAATACTACTTTCTAGATTTTTTTTAAATATTAACTACGTGGTTAATGTTTACTGTTTAGTGTTTATACTCATTAGTCATTTATAACTATAGTGTACAAAATCACAAATTTTTAAGCTCAAAGAACAAATTAACATTTATTACAGTATTACCTATATAGACGTTAAAATATTGGTTAGGCTGTGTAACGTATAATAAATGTCAAAATGTTAACATTTAAGAGGACACTACACAGCCTACACATAAATTTGTCATACTATAGTGTAGTATACTAGTATAGTCCATAACATGGAAAATTATTGTAGGCTCAGCAGATCACGTTCAACTCCGTTAGTTTAAAAATCAGAGTGAATTTATCTCTTCAATTTATGAGCATCTCATAGGATTTTTATATTTTAATTCTAAAGTGAGTTTTKAAATTGTAAATTATTTGTACATATTAAAATACTCGTAACTCACTTTTAAATTAAAATATAATGAGAAACCTATGTGATGCCCTTGATAGTCTTAATTTAAAGTTAAAATTTTATAAGAGGTCAATTCACTCCAATTTTTAAAATAACGGAGATAAACGTGAAACGTGATCTTCTGAGCATACAATTTGTAATGTTAAGACGGAGACAACTGTAATAAATGTCTGTGTAGTCGTGTAGCCATCTTCTTTATAGATAAAGGTATGCAGGTTTATATCTGCATGAGTTTATTGGATTTACTTGTTTAAGTAGTTCAGAACAATCAATCATATTACGCAATAGTTTTAAAAAGAATCTTTAATTTAACGTGTTCATATCTATTTTATTTTTTAAAGATTTTTAATATGTTTCAAAAGATCAAAAGTATTTTAAAAAATATGGTATCTTTAATGTAGGTGGTAATTATTATCGCATCGAATTTCGATCTTATATTAATAACTATAAATTAATTAATAATAAATAAATAAATAATTCAATTTATTATTAAATTAGGTATATATTGTATAGGTACCTCAGTACCAGGATAATTACTATAAATAAAWAAAAGCCGCGGCGGGACGCCTGGTACTTGGAAGATATTGAACTTCGAAATGTAGAAAATTATTCTTTATTTTAAAGGCGTATTAGATGTTATGTACGTCGTGCGTGTGGCTACACGAGCTCGCTCGTTTTGTGTGCTTTTCGCGCGTGCGTTCGTTAGTGCTTTGCAAGCTTCGCCACGTCGATAAGGCGACTAGGCTACAAAATGGTATTCTTCTTTATGGTTTCACCCCCGCCGCATATAAACATACGAAAAATATATCGATTATCGAAGCATTCAGAGCCAATATTWTATTATTTAAACTACATTGTACGTATTGCGTATCGCRGACCAGTGACTATAGTGCGCAGAAAATAATTATAATCTCACAAACATGCTGATACTGCGCGGCGTTGTCTTCGAAAAATTAAATATTGCCATTTGCCACACGTTTGAAGGTTTAGCACATCTTATACCCGTTAAATGTAAYCTATACAGCTATGCGTATTTTCAKTAGTAATTTGGGCGGATTTTACTTGATATAAATAGACCGTTCTAAAATTGTATACGAATAAAATAATTATTTTATTTTCCGTAACCAATGGTAGCCTTTGATAATCAACAAAATATTATTATTTCGTGAGCCAACAAATTCATGTGTGAGCCTGTCTTCGAAATGCAAAATAAAAAAAAGAGGACTATTATAGGTACACATGAGATATCAAGTATAGGATATTGCCTATTCACCAAATTTCAGAACCTTGAGCGCCAATTACCGAGTGCTAATAGTGCTATATAATTGGCAGTTGACTGTAGGTCGCATACACCCACAATTCACTAACTCTCTGTTTTATTATTATACATGGATAATCAATATAATATGTATAATAGAATATTTATAAATATAAGAGCTAATTAATATTTATATATATATATATAATATATTGATTTACAATCAAATAATTATTTAATTTTTTTTTTTTTGTAAGGAGAACCCGCGGCAACATAAGCCATTGGGTGGGTATTTAATTTTTATAATAACGACAAAAATTAAAGATAATATCGCGATGAAAAATTTAGTGATAATAATAATAATAATAATAATAATAATAATATAATGATAATAATATAACTGTGTTTGTGTGATATTACAGCAGCTGTCGCGTAGCGGCCTCGGAAAGCCGTTATGTTAATATGCTAAAGGTGTAGCGGCAGGGGGGGGATGTGAGGCGGTGAGTCGTGTGGAGAACGTTGTGCGCATGTACGGCTTTATGTGTGCGCATGTGCGTTTTGTGGAGCGAGTGTCGCAGTATACGTTCGTCGTTCAAACTTCTGAGCTCTCATTCGCTCTTCGATCGCAATCCGCGATTAGCGCAGTTAAGCGCTGAGCAGCAAGTTGCAGCTGAAATAGTGAAATATTGGGCTGTAGTGCACGCGTCACGGTCCCGTCGACGTCGACGATGTTGATGACAAAATATGATAGTAATATTTATGATAATAATAATTATAATTATAACAATAATATTCTACAATAATATATTATTATTTTGATTTCGTCGCGGCGACTACAGTCGACGAATAGTGCTTGTATGCGCTCCGAGTCTGGCAGGCGGCCCATCCGTCCATCGTTAGAGGCCAACAGCTGTTCGCCGTCGTCTCCGGTGCAAGTACGACGCTCGTCATTCGCACTTGTCCAATAGTCCATGATCAGTTTATTATCTCTGCCGCTGGCCGCTGGAACGCAGTAAAAGCTCGTATCGACAGCGACAGCAAACGACGACATGAGTGTCGAAAATCACAACAACCAACGGCCCTCGGCTGATCAAACAGGTAAACTCTAAACCCAATCCTTTCGTCCCTTTGACACATATACAGTCCGCTTGACAGATTCGTGCTTACTTCACTCCCGTCCGTAAAAATCAAAGTAATTGGAATATGTCGTCCAGGAGAACCCAGCTTGGAATAAGCCTCCTGGTTAGACTGTGGTGACGCGCCAGTCTCGACAATGGGTATACGCTATGACATTTGCTATTATTTTGGTACGGTTTACAATAGATAAATCATGTACAATTTAGAGCTTTATCAACTACCTAAGAATCTGTTATTACATATTTTATTACAAAAAAAGAGTAGGCATTAATTTTTCATATATTCCAAATGTTATTAAAAAATTTGAATTAATCTGTTTGCTTACAAACATTATACCTAACATTTTATTTTATTTTTCTTTCCTTTCCTATTCATGTCAAATACACTGTGAAGTCTAATAAAAATGTAATAGAAAATTAAGTATTGAGTTACAGTCTAAGCATAGTTTATAAACATAATTATTGAAAATATTGGTTAACAGAATTTGAACTGTACAAAATAATAAAATTTGATCATATATTAATATTTGTTTAACAAACTTTCATTAGTTCTTACTTTTTAATAGGTTCTCATTAATTATATTTGTACAGATACATACTTAAATATTTTATAGTAATTCTTAAACCTTATTATTTATTAATTATTAGCAATTATCATAACAACTTCATTGGTTAAAATTAACCTATTTAATACTATTAAAACTAATAAATAGATGTTGACAAGGTTAGATACCTATTTCAACATTTATTGAATAGTGCACAGTTGGTAACTTATTAACTAGTAAATTATTATAGTAAACATACCAAAATAAATGTTGGTTATACAGTCTAAACCAAATTTGTATATTTTGCAAAAATCCATCTCACCACCTATTCTTTCCTCTGGTATTCTCAACTTAGGTAATAACATTATAATAAAATTAATTTAAATAAATGTRTGTTGAATTTTGTTTGGTTTATATTAAAAGGCTGCTTATATACTTCTGGGTGAAAAATATAATATGGTAATCATCTTTAATCTTTATATAATATAGACACACACAACAACAGACAAGGCTGTATTTGAGAGGAGTTAAATTTCAAGTTTTTAAATTGTATTAAATTATTCAGTATAATAAAGTTTTTTATTTGTTGCTCTGGTTGGAAAATTCTTAAATACAGTCCTGCCATTACAATGACGTTTGCAGGGTTAGGGTTCTAGGGTTCTAACCCTGCCTGAAACTTTTTCCTTCTAAATAAAAATCTTATTAAACAAATTGTTTATCAATATACATAGTAGATTAATTGTTAATCATTTTTAATAATTATAAAATAAATTTTAAAATGGTAATACCATCGATAATCTTTATAGTTTCAATTTCATTTCTGCTTATTAAGAACATTTTTAAACATCTACCCTAATCTTCATAATATCATGTATAATCAATTATAATCATGTGTATTACAACCTGAAGAGGCTCTGTAAACAGTCAGGTTAATTCTATGAGGCTATTTCTATGATTTGCTATAAAAAGGTCCATAAAGTTCTTCAGAAATCAAGATAAATTTGTGAATTGTTTTTTTTTTTTTTTTAATCCAGATACAACCTCAAATCTTTATAGTAAAATATGTGTATCTATATATTACATATTTTTTGTAATAGTATTAGAAATAGATTATAAAATTATGAAAAAAATAAATAATTGACTAAAATTGTTTAATATTGCTCTTGGACATCAAAAACCTTAAGTTCCAAAACACTCAAAAAAKTTTATTGTTAGCATAGTGTGTTATGTGTATCTGAAACACATTTGTATCTTGCAAAGGTATGTAAAGAATGCATTGAAATCCAAGTCTTACATTAATAACTAACTGTTATGTTTCTAAATTTCTAATATAGTATATTATGTAGACCACATTTTATATGAGCACGTCATTAAATTAATTAATCTACTTATTACCCTCTGTGTGCAGTATACGGCATAGTCTGGCATCTTCTTTTTTTTTCACCGAACAGAACAAAAATCCTGTAGTTATTATAAAAATTGGATATATCTAGTATTATTTTTGGAGCAAGAACAGATAATAAGTGGAAATTAACATTGATATTACATTGTAAAATTGTGTTTTTATGTGTATCTCTTTAAAATTAAAAAGATAACAGTTTTATTTCACTTGAAAATTGTAATAATTTAATTTGAATCTGTATTTATCATTTTATGAAAATCCTCTTTAAAACCAGAAAAAAAGAATTTAATTTAAACTTTTAAGTAAATWAAATACTGAAATCTAAAATACTTAAATACATTATTACATACACTATTATTTTGAGCTATAAAATAGTCGTGCCTTTTTTTTATTTAGATTTATTTTATAATTTAAAAATAAGTATTATGTTTGTCCTATAAAGTATTAACAAGTGGACTTATATGATTATTGTTCTGAAATGTAATTCAATATCTGTTATTTAAAATATTGAAAAATAAAATGTTCAAAACTTTGGTATGTAACAGAGAGATATAATGATTCTAATTAATGTGTTCTAATACATATTATAAATTATAATATACTATTGAAATCCCTTAAATTTACTTAAAATTTGATCCTAACATTGTTTGAAAACTGACCGGTCCTTTAAATGTTGATAAAACAATTTTTACACTAACCTACCCAGTGCCGTAACTAGCTCTATGTGTGCCCTTGGTAACCAATGTTATAAATTTAAAATGAATTTTTAGTATTTATATATGATATAAAAATTGCGCCCCTAGCGCGATCATTTTAAACTGCGCCCTTGGTCACCGTCCACCTTGCCAATGCCTAGATAGTAGATACGGCACTGAACCTACCCAAGCTGGTTTAACTTAGCAATCTGAGGAGTGTTTTTGATTTTAACTGCCTTAATTTGAGTTACCTATGTCAATTACTAAGGGTCAGGTCAAAATTAAGACAGTTTTTTTCCTTAATTGTCCTTTAATTTGATTATTATAAATGAAAAACTTTGAAATCTTTTTATAGATAATTAAAGCTGAAAAATACTACTAGGATTTTAATTGCATTAAACATATTTTATTCTTAATATTTTATAATTATAATCAAGCATAATAAATGTTTTTATCAATTATATTACTTTAAAATTTGCATTGAAACGTGTAGTTGATTGATTTTTTTTTGTTTTAGGTTCTTCAAGCAAAAATAAAAGGTCAATCCTTTATGATAAAACATTTCTTATTGACATTGTTGACAATATAGTCAGCTCAAAAGTGGAAAAGCTCATTAATGCATATGGAGGAGTAAGTTTATAGATATGCATTTTATTTTWTGAAAGGTATGATCTTAGTGCCAAATTTACCAAGTGTATAACACTATGGACTATCAGTGATTTTATTTTTTTAACTTGTTTAAGTAATTATTTCTCCAATTGAGAATTGTAAATATGTGATTTGACAAAAAATACTTATGTTCTGTTTAGGGCTTAAAATTAAATATCTTAAATATATTTTGTAACTTATTTTCTATAATATATAATCAGGCATGTAGTCCTAAAGTTATTTGCGAGTATGCTACATATGTGGCAGCTTTTGTCATCAACCAGGCCCGTAGCCACGGTGGGAAATGGCGTTGCCACCTTAAAAATATTAGACGGACATTGTTTTATATATAACGCCCCCCCCCCTAAAGCTTGCTTTGYCCCAHCAGAAAATTTGGTCTGGCTACGGCCTGCATCAACCCCTCCACCACCACCTCCTTTCAATTATATAAATTATTAAATTAATAACATATAATTAGTTATTATTTTATTAAGTTGATTTTAAATTATAATAACTTTAACAATGTAATTACCTAATATTATTATAAAGTATATTTATTTATCTAATACATAATATAATAATACTTCTGTCAGCTAGTTTAAAACAATTTTTGTGTAGTGGGTATACGCATGTTTTTCAGCGCATACTTCYGGTCTCAAGTTTTTTTCTTTAGTATGCTCTCTTTTAAAAATTTGAAAAGTGGGTATGCGCCGCATACTCACGCATACCCTCCACTACATCCCTGTATATAATATATAATGTAATGTATGTGGAGCATGTATGTGAATTACTTATCATATAGTTATATCCAATGTTAAGTATTTTTATATACAGTAATACAATTTTCAATTATTTTTTGAGTGATTAAAATGATTAAAGCAGTGGTTTCCAACCCATGGGCTATTGGCAACATGGTATTGGGTCGTATATATTGCTCGTAGATTTAAGCCAAGGGTTGGCAAATTTTAATTTATGCCAATTAGCATTAATATTGAAATGTTTGTGATTATTTATTTTTTATTTTTTAAAGTTTACCGGCTTCCACTGCTAAGGTTATTAGCCAACATTGTTTTTTAAATAAAAAAACAGATTTGCTATTCAAATATGTATACAATTGAGAAGAAAAGAAAAGATATAAGAAAAAAAATTACATATATACAGTTAAATTATTAATTGTATTTACAAAGTAGATTGGCTGAGTCAGAATTTGTTGATGAGGTTGCATGAACTTGTTATGAACTTGATGATGTTTAGGGTTTGTCCTTCGTTGAGGATTTCTTTGATATTGTGCAGGAAGTTAAGAAACGTGCGTACTGATTCGTATGTGGAGCATTCTTGGAATATGTGTTTTACAATGATGCGAGTTTGACATATTATGTTACATGTGGGTGGCTGATCTTTGCTGATTAGGAGTGTGTGATGAAAGTTTGGCCGATTCTTAAGCCCCGGGATCCCACGACTCGTGTATTTAACGAATACACAACTAATCGATATGTTAGAATAGCCAAAATAAAAAATAAAAACGTGAAACATTCAAGTTGAAYATTGAAATGCAAATATAATATTATTTATATGACCGTTAACAGGCTAACAAATCACAAATAATAAATTGTTAATATGACTGATAACTGATAACAAAAAACAACCGAATGCAAATATTCGTCACGTCGTGGAAATGTACCAACGAAGATCTATTTTGGTAATTAAATTATTTGACTCGTGTCACATTTACCGACAATCCGCGGGAAGGTGGCGAATAACGAATACCGAATATTCGTACAAGTACTCCATTCCCATTATTTGGCGAGTATCCACGAATGCCGAATATTCGTCAAATACACGAGTCGTGGGATCCCAGCTTTATACGTGTGATTGCAATATCTTGACGTCGGCTGAGGTGTGAAAATATCATAGCAGTGGCGTAGTTATGGGGGGATGATGGGGATAGATCCCCCCCCCCCCAAGAGCCTTTTTTATGTTTAATGCATTGACTTATATACTGATATCCATATTATGTCATAAATTATAATCACGGATATAATCCACTTAACCATCTTATATAGGATCGATTGAATGGATTAACCATTAGCTGTCACAAAAATGTACACATTGACACAGAGGAAATAATTAACGAGTTAGCTAAAAAACCAAGAAAATTGGATCTTATTTTATAAATTATAGTGTTATTCATGTTTTCATTTTTTATTTTGAATTACTATTTTTTTTTTTTAATGTATAGGTATTTAGCACAGTATATTTTTTTTTTAATTTCTATTGCTTATTTAATTTATGGCGGGGAGATACTAAATTGTATACGGTGTACTGGCGGTAATAAATAAGTACCAATTTAACTGTGTTAAAAAAATTAAAAGAACTGTTTTGGGGGGAAGCCCCCCACTTTATGTTGAGTCATTAAATTATATATCCCCCCCCCAGAACAAAATCATAACTACGCCACTGTATCATAAGATGATATTTTGTCGATGATGCTGTTGGGTAGAAAATTAGAGGTAAGGGAGGCTGCTTCGTTACCTTTTATTCCTACATGGGAGGGTACCCACATAAATTCAAAGGTTTTCCGGGTGTTGATTAGTACAGATTGGATAATTTGAGTGATCTCATCCCACTGGTTTTTTAATGCTGTTAGGACGCTGAGGGAATTGCTGATAATGAAAAGGTTATTTGATTGAAGTGAATTTGTTAATTAAATTGCTTCGAGTATTGCGTATTTTTCGGCGGTGAATATGTTTGTTAATGTGGGAAGCTTGTGTTTAATGGTCGTTTGATTAGGAACAACTGCAAAGCCAACACCATTTTCAGACTGAGTCATCCGCGTAGATTTGAATGTGGTTAGGGAAACGAGATTGGATAATTTCGTGAAAGTGATATGTTATAATCTTGTGGCTTATTTCTTGTTTGCTGAGTGTGAGTAAATCTGTTGATAATTTTAGGTTTCATAGCCACGGAGGAGTTTTTTGAAAAAAAAGTTTTCTTGTGATATTATGGTTGATATTTAAGTTTATGTTTTTGAAAAGGGCTATATGGCCTATGTGGTTGGGAGTGGTTTTATTTTCGATACAGTGTAGAAGATTGATCTTTTTGTAATGAGTTGAAGGGGTATTTCTCCTGCGACACATAAAATGCTTTCTGTGGGGCTTGTTCTGAAAGCACCAATTGGGAGACGGATTCCTTCGTGATAAGGTCTAGTGTTTTGCGATGTCTTGGCTTGGTTGTATTATAGATTGGAGATCCGTAATTGATTTGTGAAAGAATTAATGTTTTATATATGTTTATCAAAGACTTTTTATCTGCTCCCCGTGTGTGGTTACCTAGAGTTTTTATAACATTCAATTTAGCTTTGCATGCAACTTTTACATGTTTAAGGTGCGTGATCCAGATTCATTTATTATCGAAAATTAATCCTATTATACGAAGTGAATCATAAAAGTGAATTTGAGTTTTTTTTGTTAAATGCTCTGTAAATCTTAACACCGTCACTTCCAATTAAATTTAATAAACGTGCTACCTGTACTTTTACCGGTTTTGCCGTTGTTTCCGTTGCTTCAAAAAATACCATGACTTCCTCTTTGAATAATTTTAAATTTTCAGCGACACTTCCTGTTAGTTTCAACCATTCTRGTTTGTTGAATTCCATGGTTGACGGTTATATGTGGACTATGGACCACTTTACTTCACTTCAATTTTTTATCTTATTTAATCGTAAAAATCACATTAAGTTCACGACTGCGCCATGTTTTATTATGTTCAATATTGTTTACTGAACATAATATTACTTGGAAGCGTAATAATTAATAACGAATTATTATTACATACAAAACTTTATTATTTAACTAACTAATTACTACATAGGTATAAAAGAAAAATCTACTTCACATGGTAATACTGCAGTAGTTAATAAAAAAAAAAAAACAACATAACCTATAAAAACTGTTTATCAGCTTATCACAGTCAATATCAGATATTGAGTTATCACAATACAGTCAGCGTGTGAATGTTCATTGATTTGAGAGTAAAATTKTCTAAGATTTATCTAAATTGAAGAAAAATGATTGGTGAGGAATTCTTGGCAATGAAAAATTCTTCCACTGTTTTTAGGCCCTCTTCGTTGCCATTTTTTTGTCTGTTGGACGAGTTTGATGCGATCGTATTTTGGATTTTTTGGTGAGTTTTTCCTTAATTGGAGTTGTTTAAATTATTCGATGAGGGGGGGGGGCAGGATGACGATTTGGAGAAAGGTCTTTTTATATGTCTCATTTGGAGGAGAGTCTAGGGATACATCAGGGGTGTAATTTGTTAGTGAAGAGGGCTCTGATTCTTTTGACCAGTCCAGAGTAATTTTTTCAAAAAGTTCTAAATCAGGTGTTGAGTGTGGGAGAGTGTATTCTATTTGTACTTCAGTGGTAAATCAGTAGTGTTGATTGCATTAGAATCGGACAAGTGGTCACTTTTAAATTTATCTTCGATATTTTTATTACAGTTAGTTGTTGTGTGACCAACCGATTTACATAACATGTTATTTTGTCATCAGTGAAAAAGATTCTGAATTGATTTTCGTTTACATTAATTAATAATGAGCTGGGAAGCTTAGGGATATCTTCGTGATTTATATAAATTTGGCGGCGAAAACTCATTATATGTTCATAGCTTTCAATTGTATAGAGATACTTGACAGAACTTTGGATAACCCATATATTAAACAAGCCTTTTCAACTAAATTATTTTGAAAATTAGGTATATAATTAAATTGAATGTTGAGTGATTTGAGGCTAAATTTATCCAGTTTTAATCCTGATATTAACTTTCTTGTGGGAGACAAACATTATTAAAAATTACATTGAGTTTTTATATCTTTGACAACTTGTTTTAAGTTAGATACAATAAACTTAATTTCTTTATCAACATTTTTATAAAAACTTATCTTGTTATCTATTTGTGTCTTTATTAATTTTCACATTATACATTTTTTTTAACAGAAATTAATTCAATCGTTAGAAAAGAGTACTGATTATTTAATATCAGATATGATACAAAATGAAGGAGCAAAACATAATACCAGTTCAGAAACTAATAATGTAAGAATATTTTTTGATTCAATTTTATATTATTACAAGGTATAATCCAACTTAACACTTAATTCTATTTAAATTTCAGTGTAGAAAAGATATAGAAGTAAAAAATGGGCAATCTTCTAATCGTAAAAATTCAATTGATCTCATTAATAAAGCAAATATTTTAAACATAAAAATTTTATCCGCCAAGAAGGTTAGTAATGTAATATAATTTACAAATATCAATTTATAATCACATTTTTTTATAAATTAAGTTTCAACATTGGCTCAAGTCTTTATTGAAAAAACGCCGTACCGACAAAAAACCTACAGATCAAGTTGCAAGTGTACTAAGAGGAAAAGTTAGTTTAAAAATAGAATCAATGGATCAAACACAACGTCCTGTATTTGAATATATACCTAAGTGGCCAGATTTAGGTGATGCATTGTGTAAAAAAAAACCAAAACATTCAGCTGAACATAAATATAATGGAGATAAAAGTGGTGATGATTACTCTTCGGATCAATACAGGTGAATAAATAATGTTTTCTCGTCTTCTTAATTTATGTGTTGACTATTGGTTATTGTGCAACCATTAATAATTATACTATAGTACCTCAGAAATCGGTGGAATGTGTGAACTATGTGACATGCCATTTATGAATTATAAGGAGCATATAAATACAAAAAAACATATGAGAGAAAGCCAAGATGAACACAGATTTCATGAATTAGATGAATTAATTAATGAGAGGCCTTTAAATGTTATATTTAACCAATTTATACCCGATAAGTCTGATAAGTAAGTTACAATAATGCTATATTAAAATTTAACATAATTTAATAATATTTTTCATTTTCTCAGGAAAATTATCAAAGATCAAAACTCTACTCAAGAAACACCTAATCTTAAAAACTGCATAGAAGATACAGTCATAATTATTGATTCCGATTCTGATGGTGCTGAACAAATAAATGTGGTAAGTTTATCATTTTAAATAAATCTAATTTTTAAAAAGAAAAACAAAAAAAAAATGTTCAGTTTATCTACTTAAATATTTAAAATGTTGAGGGTGATAAATTGCTGATAATTTATTTATTTCTATAATATTTTGTATTTGTATTTTTTTTTTCATCATTTCTCAATAATTAGATAATTTAACACAACATATATTTTTTATTAATTTACTAAAATACGTGTAATATTTAATGTTTTGTGGATACAGTATGTTGTTTATAGTTCATTATATGTGGGTTAAGTCACTAAGTCTTAATACTTTAATTATAGTTTACTAGTATAGTATATCAGAATAACAGGCATTTTGCTCAGGACTTGTTGAATAGAATCAATAGATATATTGCTGATGGATCTAGTTAATGATAAATGCTCACTGCAAACAAGTTCTCAGAGAGCCCCATAGAAAGGATATATTGAATAGTGATTGACTTGGTTTTGAAAAATAATAAAAGTTAGGAAAGCTCACTCTGTAGTGAGCTAAATACCCAATTTCTAACATATTTTGCTAAAACTCAATAAACTATGGATAATAAATTAACTTAATAAACATATCAATAATATAAACAATAAATTATAACTGTTATACTCTATGTCTTAATTCCAAAAGGGAATAATCACTTTTATACCTATAACTAACAGTTACAGCAGTGCCGAGACCAAATTTTCTTTACCTTGCTAGCCAATGTTTACATGACATACACCATTTATATTAAAATTGACATCAGACGACCCATTAATACAAGTCATTGGTAGGAAATGCAACAAATGTAGGTTCGCCAAACTGATTAGTTACTTTTGAAATAGAATATAATATATACTGGTAACTAAAAGACAAATAAAACTCGAATATAAGGTGTTCTAAATTTACGTTTAAAACTTGAAATACACATTACATYGTGATTTTAGTTCTTTTACAAAGAATTTTGATGTAGGCTTTTCTGTATAGCATTGTATATATGTTTAAGTTACCTAGAAAGTGGTAGGTAATATTTCTTCACATTAAAATAACAATTATAATGTTAACATAATTTTATATTTTTTCCAGCCTTGTTTGGATGCTGGTAAAGCTCCAAGAGATTTTAAAGAACAAGCATCAGAAAGTTTAAAGAGAAAATTCCAATATTCAGATAACAATATTTCTTTTGTACCTCAAAAGAGACCTAGTAAGTTGTATTATTCACCAATACATGATGAAAATAATTTTCATAAAAAAACCAAACGGAAACACAAAACGCATCAAAAGTCATTGTCTAAGGATATATATAAAGTGGAAGTTGTAAACAGCCATTTATCAAATTCAAATAATAATCCAAATAATGATAGAATTGTGTCTGATCAACCACCAGTTATAATACGTTTCAAGAGAGTACAAAATTCAAAAAACAAGTTTTCTCCAAGTGATGTTGAAAGTGTTAAAACAATATCATCATCTTCATCATCGTCGTCATCTTCATCATCGTCGTCATCTTCATCGTCATCATCGTCATCATCATCGTCATCATCATCGTCATCATCATCATCTGATGATGATGATGATGATGATATTAATGTAAAAAAAATCCCGGAGGACACTATACCAGTTCATAGATATATACGTGTAGTCAGAAAACCAAGTTTTAGTAATGAAACTGAAGTTACGCCTTCAAAAAGCTTCACAGAAAGTCAAATATTTACATTTGAACATCCTGAGTTACGTCGAAATATCTATACAAATTTTTCTTACTGTCCTACATACACATGTATCCCCGACACTAAGTCTAGTATTGAATACATTCAGGAGAAGATAGACAATTTAGGCAATCCTAGCTTAAAATGTACATTGTCATTTAAAGATTCTTTAAAATTCATGTCTAATATGAAACCTAAACAAATTGGAGAATGGTTTTATAATGTTCCCAAAAAAATTCAAGATAAATTATCATTCAATTCTTCATCATTAGTTCCACTTACAGAGTTGTCAAAAATTAAGTCTTTTGTAGTCCCTAAAAGAAATTTAAACAAAAGTTCAACATCCTCCAGTTCTATTGAAATATTGTAATTTTAGTTAATTTATGTTCCAAATGGTTTTGTGTCCTATCTGAGATCTCTTAATGTTATTTTCTTTAGGGATTATTTTTATTTTTATGTTGAATTAATTTTTTTATTTGATGATGTATGTGCCCCCTACTTATAGGTAAAATAAGACATTTAATTTATGCCTACTCAAAGTTATATCCAAAGATGTTTAAATTTTATTCATTTAATTCACACCAAATACTATCTAAAAATATTAATCAATTAAAAAAAAAAAAATGGATCTGTGCTTGATAATTATTTTACTTTAAATATTGTTTTAAATTAGTTTAAAAGTTTATGTTTTGTGGCCTAAAACCACTAATTTGTTTTAAAATTTTTTATTTTATTTCAAAGTTATGTTTATGTTAATATATGTTTATTTATTAATGTAACCATTTTATTTTATTATTTGTTTATTATTATGTTGTTCAATCAGTGCCTTGTTGAAAATTATAGTCCAAACTTTTATAAAACTTTTGTTTATGAATCCATTCAAACGGTACCTTTTATAAATCAACAAATGATACTAGGAAATTCATGTTATTAGTATTTAAACATAATATTWTTATTGGGAATAGTATTCTAGTATAAAACTGTTAAAAATATGCATAATTTATTATGTATCTATACATTTAATGGCTTTCTTTTAAGTATAGCAATTATAGGTAAATTATGCATATATTTAAACGTAAAATCAAAATGATTTATCAACAAGTCATTGTTTGTTCAATTGTTTTTGAATAAGATTAAGTAAAAATATTAATATTAATCCACAAGTGTTACAGTATTAAGGATAGTCTGTTGTTAATTTTTTTTGTCAGTTATATTTTATTGTTKTGTTATGATTTAATTCATTTTTACTAGATATATTATTTACTTATAATGTTATATAATATTTATTTCTTAGTTTTCTGAATATTTTATATCTATTTCTAATGATATTTTATTGCTATATTTTTATAAATGGTCTAAGAACTGTTTTTGTTAACCGAATTTAAACATGCTTATAACTATATATGTCAGTATTGATCGTGATTAGACTGACTAAGAGGAAAAAATATTGTTATGGTTATATTATACATCCGTCATTGTGTAAAAAGTAAGAATACTTGACTAAGTATTTGATTAGTTTTTTTAAATATCTGAATACAAGAAAAAATTAATAATAAATAAAGTTAAAATAAATGTATAAATTTTACTAAGTCACTTTTTTTTATGATGGCAACAAACTATTTAATATACTACTTTATATTTGTAATGTTTTTGCTATATTAAATGTTTTTAAAGCGAATGTTTAAAAATTTTCTTTTTCATTTTTATCGTTATTTTGTGTTTAGACTTGAGTGAATTTATATATTATATTTTGTTAACTATGAGTTGTGAATTTTGTTTTAAATATATATGTGTGTGTCTTCATTTCAACTTGATGCTCTTAATTACCCATTAATGTATTATGTTATACTAATCAGCAAGACTGAGAAAGTTCACAATGTGTTTTTTAATTTGTTAARTTAAACTAGAAAAAATGTTGGTTAAATTTAAAGGTAAAAGTTACATGTTAACTAGGATATAAGAGTAATTTACTCAGATAAATATTGAAATTGTGTACTTCCACTCAAAAGTATGTTTGTTCTCGTCTATAAATCTTTTAAATTCAGTTTTTGAATAATTTTCTAATATAGTACAATATATTAAGTTAAAATGAAAAATCATTACCATTCTCAACATTTTTATCTTTAAAATAGGTTGACTGAAAATATTTGCATGATATTTTATTCCCACAATGATCAATTATTACTTAATTTATAATATTCCAATCACCATTACTAATTTTTTATTGTAATTCGGTTATACTTCGCACAATCACACATGCCACATTAACTATAAAGGTGGGTATACACTGGAGCRTTTGGGTGTAATGTAACAGAGTTCATGYTTGCCTGAATGTTACAATGTTACACGATTGTTACACGATCAGTGTATATGATAGAGTCGAGCGCTACTGTGTATTTGGTTGTTCGCCGGTCTATCCATCAGTTATTCAGTATTTACAGTTTGTTCTCGAGTTAGTTCACATCGTGTGCAATGTCTTCTGATAGAAATTTACAAGTCGCTAGCACATCATTTATTTTAATTCATTCTATTTTAAAAAAACCAAAAAATAAAAGTGAAAGAAGGTGGTGGCAAACAAATTTAATGAAGTCTAGGGACATATGTAGTGGATCAGATTTATTAAATTGTCTTCAGAAACAGGAAATAAGTGGACTGGACAGTACAGAAACTTCATTAGAATGTCATCAATTGATTTTGAATATCTAATAAATTTGATCGGTGAAAAATCCCCAAAAAAAATACAAATTTCCGAAAAGCCATTCCTGTAAAAGAAAGATTAGCTGTTACATTGCGATTTTTGGCAACTGGTGATTYCTATCAAAGTTTGCAGTACCTGTTTAAAATGCCAAAACAAGTTATTGGACAGATTGTTCCCGAAGTATGCCAAGCAATTGCGGAAGTTTTATAAGAAAATATACAAGTATGCATGTTTAATGAACATTTTGAATTATATTTTAACACTATAAAGTTTTGAACATAATTTAAAAACAAATCAAATATAAATAACATTGATAATAAAAGTCCTTTTTTGCTTAATAATAATAATTATCATTAATAATTTGTACTTTTTTTTCCTGTATAAAAACAATTGTAATTTTAATAAGATATAAAAATAATAATATTGACGATTTAAGTCCTTTTTTCTGTTTATTAATTATTAATTATAATATTAATAAAAAAAAAAAATAATAATAATAACAAATGTTAATAAATGTATTTTACTAAAAAYACTTATTATAATAAAAAAATAAACAATWACATTTTAATCTAACTGCTTAAAATCTTGTTTAATTTTAATTAAGATCATAGGCATTATGAGTGGGGGAAGGGTTAGTATTATAAGTAGGAGGCGAACGGCTAGGATTGTATGTAGAAGACGAGGGACTAGGAATGTAAGTAGCAGGTATAGGGCTAGGATTGTATAGTTAAAAAGTGACGTATAAAGAGGATGGATTTGATTCATATTATTTGCAGGATAGTTATATTCATAGAACCCTTGGAAAGCTTTAAAAATTATGTTACCGAATTCATATTGAACAGCATTTCTGGTTTGTGGGGAAAAACTTTGTAGCTTAGTTTCTATATATTTCCCATACGCACTACATTCCGTTTCTTCTACTGGTTTTTCCGCAGCAGTTAAAATTGAAAATGCCTGGTCAAGCATTATATCATCATCTGTTTTTTTCTCTTTTTCTTTTGGATGAATTGATGGAGTGTTGAAAATTACTGAATTTTTTAGGTTTTCAGTGGACTGTAACACATCGACTTCGGATTCTTTATTCTGATTTTCAATTTCAACTTGTTCTTCGACGACCTTAAATATACCAAAAAATTAATTGAATGTAAATATTGATTTTATACATATATAATTAATATATTAATATCTACATCCATTTATACAAATTACATCAATATAAATAATTTTAATAATTTTAATTATATATAAAAAAAAAGAGGTGGGCAAGTGATGGATGTCGCTCTGCAGCTCTGCTGTACAGTGGGTTAYAAGTGAGTGACCACTGACAGAAATTACCACTGTAATGGATTGTGGTAAATTTCAATCTAATGATATAATACAATTTTATAAGAAAAACGATTCTGAGCGAAGACGGTCAGTCAGTCTATAATATCTTACTAAGTGTATATTTTGATGATATTGTTGTGAATAATAGTATTTATTAATATTTACTACAGTTGGTTAAATTCATTTTTCATAAAAAAAAATACATTTGAAAATGTATAGGAAAAAAAACTAAAAAATTGAAAATGTCCGTAAACACCTCAAAACAAATCAAATTAGTTTGAATATTTTATGGAATAAAGAAAATGCTAATATAATAATTCAGTGACAATTGCATGTATCTAAGGTCATTTGTTACATCACAAACCAAAATTGATTAAGAGGACGTCGCACCCGCATGTGTTGTCTCCGTCTTACACACGTACGACATAGGAAATGTTCGTTCGCTAGTTTCAATAGGATATTGTCAGTTTTGATATAGAGTGAATCTGTGAATCCACCTAGTATCAAACTTTTAGGTAGCAACGTTATAAGTGTTCTTTTGTTGTTTTTTTACGATATTTTAATTTTCAAGTGAGTTATGGGTAGGTATGCAAATTACGAATATTTTAAAATGTTCATAACTCACTTAGAAATTAAAATATCGTAAAAAACCAACGAGAGAACACAGATAATGTTGGCAATGTTGCTACCTAAAGTTTGATAATAGGTGGTCAAAACTGACAATAYCCTATTGAAACTAGCGAACGAACATTTCCTATTTCGTACGTGTGTAAGACGGAGACAACACATGCGGGTGCGACACGTCCTCTTAAGCTCAGAATTTAAAATAATGTTATCTAACATTTTTAGTTTTTACTTACCGAGTCTAATGTAGATCTTGGATTGTCCTTAAACATAATAAACGCCAAACTTTTGAAGGCAAACCACGTGCTTTGATAAACTTCCTCCGTTCCTTATATAAAATAGTACAAATTATTATATTAAATTGTTTTGGAAATTTAACAGTCATTCAAGAGTCCCTCCAGACATAATTCCAATAAATAGGTGAATTTTTAATATAAAAAYGTATATTATAAATTATAATACAATGTGCTATTAGTAGACTAAAATTAAACTACCTATCCAATTTCCTCCAAATAATGTTATAAAAATGACAATAATAGTAACACAAAAGGACTACGTGACGGTTCCTGTTTGTTGTATTTGCTTATTTCAGAGACAGTTCACAGGTCCTAGTTTATACGTAATAGGTATTTACGAGTGTAACTATTTATAGCTAATAACAGACTTGTTAAGAGGCTGCTACACGGTTATTACTAATRACTAATAACTTATTAGTTTACGCTGAGCAGATTAAGTTAAACTTCGTTAGTTAGACTGAATCGGCCTACTATGAAACTTGATGTTAAGAACATTATCTGTGTTTGTATGTGGGTTTTTTACGATAGTTCAACTTTTTAGCAAATTATACGTGCCTATATAATAAAGCGTAAATTAGAAATGCTCATAACTCACTTAAAAACTGAATTATCGTAAAAAATCAACACATATAATGTTCTTATCATCAAATTTCAGTATATAAGTCGATTCACTCTAATTTTTGA